GATTAAGCAAATATTTAATATTTATTTAGATAAACTGCGGGAAAAATGTTTAAGATATTTTTCACTTTTTATATTGTTTTATCATCAGATAGTCAAAAAAATTCTAAACAAGTTTTATTTTCAGAAATTTTGAAAAAAACAATCGTAATATTCGTTATTTTTTGTACAATAAAAGGTTGCTGCATGGTTTTGATGGAGGGTTCCTTTTAAATCCACATTTTATTTTATTAGATTTTAATATTATTATTTAAAAATTCAGAATTTGAATTATAAAAATGTGCTTTCTGTAATATAATATTTGGTGGATTTTTTTTAAAACAAAAGTTTCTCAACTTAAAGAAAACTCTTTCTTTACCTAAAAGATTTAACTTTTGTTTGAAAATTCTGAAATTTCTTGGTTTAATCTAAACTTTCTTGTGAAAAACTACTTGTGTAAGAATACAGAAAGTTAGATACACGTTAGATTTATAATACAATAGCTTGGGCACACAGCTTTGCCTGGAAATTTAAACATAAAGTCAACCACTGGATTAGGGTAAGATCAAATAATGTGAATTAATTCTTTTTTTTCTTCTGTATAGTCTAAGAAATCAAAACTGATTAGTTCTTAAAGAATTATAGGATCAAAAGGTCAATTAATTTGAATTAGGCTGTATACTAGTGTATGTATGTATAGTGTTGAATAACAAAACTAGTTCTAATTTATTATTTAAAAAGATCGTAAACGATCAAAACTTAAAGGTGACTTCGTTCAAACTAGCGTGAAATGACCCTTTATTAAGCTGGCGATATTAACTGTGATATATAAATATATATATATATACATATATGTATATGTATATGTATATATATATGTATATATATATGTACATTTAGATCTGCATTTATGCATCAGATGCAAACCTAACTCTCTATTTCTGGCTTCCTGGTTAGAAAGGTCGAAGTCTTAATAGAAGTCTAATAAACAATCTATGTACAATCTATGTACAATCTATATACAATCAATGTACAATCTATGTACAATCTATGTACAATCTATGTACAATATATGTACAATCTATTTACAATCTATATGTACAATCTATGTACAATCTATGTACAATCTTTGTACAATCTATATACAATCTATGTACAATCTTTGTACAATCTATGTAGAATCTATGTACAATCTAGACAATGTACATCAAACCATTATTGTACTTTATTATCATTGTGTAATGTGACACCTTTAAGGGATTATATACTCTAATTCAAATAACCCTTTTTATCAAACGTTACTTAAAAATTATAATTTTCAATTTCGCAAAGGAACTAAATCTTTGCAACAAACTAAAATTTGCTATTCTCTATATCTTTGCAACATGATGGAGCAAACCTTTGATATTTCAAACTTAGATTTTTAAAGAATTGGACAGTCAATTAAAATTACGTTGGAAACTTACTGATTGAAACGTTCGCCATTAACAATTTTCACGTTTTGATATATACAAAATACACGTCAAACTAGAACAATATTCACGTTTTGATATAGACAAAATACACGTCAAACTAGAACAATATTCACGTTTTGATATAGACAAAATATACGTCA